GAATTACCGGATAACGACGGATATGATCGCATACTAAGGGATTGGCCCAGTCCTACAATAAAATGGATGTAGTTTTATGTAGTATAAAGACCATTGTATTGCGCACCATAGCCACCAAAGTACGTGGATCGTTCATGGAATAAATATTTCCTTTAGGGGACTTGTGCTGTACAGTTGGCACCCCCGATGACTTCCGGAGAGAGGTCTGCACCTGACGAAGGTGGTATAAAGAGGGGACATCTCGAGCCCCTGCTTCGCGGAGTACCCAAACCGTTCATAAGTGAGTTTGAAAGTCGCATTCTGGGAAGGTTGTCAAGAGTATCAAGGAGAAACATCTAGATATAAGGAATGAAAAGCATGTTTAGTATTGTTGATCTGCGCGTTGAAGGCTCGACTCACCGTCTTTGATGTGTATGGCGACCAAGCTTCAGACGTCTTAGGCTGACTTGCACGATCTTGCGCCTCTTTGTCAAGTATGTCAGCCCCTTCCGGAATATTCACGTCTATCCGAAATATGAGACGCATTGAAACATATGAACAAAAGCAAGAGTTATACGCACATGTATTCCGTAGCAACTCAGTTAATACATCTTCCTGTTCGAGTTGGTCGAGCAGTAGTTCACCATCATTTGGGTCTTCTTCAGGAAGGAAATCGGCACTGCGCCAGAGATCAAAATCAGTGGCTTCTTTCCGGCTGCCGGGCTGTATGGTCGATTCCTGCGCTGAAGATATCGTTGGAAAATGCTCCGTCGTCCCACATTTCTTGTTCTTCCGCACTTGGTTTAGAAACGGGTGCTTTTGTCATTGCTGCTGGTTCAATTGTTGAAGATAACGTAGCAAAGTCCATCCTCTCCTCAATGGCGCTTTCTTCTCGCAAAGACCGTTCCCCAGCGGAACGAATATTATCCCTATCCTGCTTGGCGTGGACGGAACGGGCATGAACGTCGGATTTCAAGTGAGAACTTAAACTTTCTTTCTGGATCCAAACATTATTTTGTCCGCGCAGCGCTTTGCATATGCTGCATCGAACCTTCTTGCGGTCGTCCGACAACTCTATAACTGATGGATGGTTTGCGTCTTAAGTAATGCATAAGGTCGACAATGTGAAAGAAACCCACAGTCAGGCAATGCGGTCTGCACCTTGCGCCCTTTGGCCATTGTTGAAGAGCTTCAGGAAATCCCTGGGAAAGAATGGCACAGAGGCAGGAGGAGTCAGTACACGTTTGGCTTGATCCGGCGACCCATGAGATGTTTAAGCAGTCCGGAACCAGAAAAGGACACATCGTGCGACGTCTGGCCCAAGGGTTTACGCGTAATTATAGGGAAACCAGGAGGTTGGTTTCAGCATCCATGGGTACTGCTATTTCTTCGGGTTCAGGGAGAGGATCAGGAGAGGTAC